AGGATTCTGAAAGTATAATTTCAAAAAGAAAGGTAGTAAAAAATTAACTTTGTTTACTTAAGCTATTAAATTTACTGAGAATTATTTAACCAGAAATCAATTTGGTAAATGACCAATCCACTGAATGACTAATTGTCCTTAAATTGTCACACCAATTGCCTTAATCCATATTTAAAACATACACAACTATTTTACTGTTGGAAGCAAGGACTAGAATAGATATAATTCTCACACCAGAAAAATATGAGAAGAGTAGGGGAAAGTCCCTCCATTCACTTATATAAGACTGAGCATTCAAGAAGTACAGTACTAGGCATCTCAAATGTTAACTTGGGAAGCTGCGCATCTAGTGGCACAGGACTATAAATCCATGGTGACATTGCTGCATCATAGTCTTGGTAATACTAAAAGTTAAAAAAAAAAAGTCATCCATAACTTGGCAAATAAATCATTTAGCTAATCGGCTTTTGGTGGACTGGTTTACTGCATTTACATAATTATATGCTGCTTTTCACCAAAAATAAATCAGCTTACAAGTATTTTTTTTAAATGGGAGCAACAAAAGAAGAAGACAAGCCAGGAAGTAAAATTGAATCAGGAATGAGACTTGAGAACACATCCCATTAAGATCTAAACATGTGGCTGCTAAACCACATATTTATTCTAGCTATCAGTGAAACATGGGAAGCCCAGTTAATTTAGGCAATTTACTGTCTGAGATTAGGTGAAGACAAACCAGTTGCTCATGAAGGGTTCACCTATCCTTTGAAGTCATTTATTTATGAAGACTATATAACAGAAATGTTGAAATAGGAAGGTCATATTTAAAATAAATTTCATGATCTCTTTTGAATTTTTGAATACAGAATTAAGAACACACTAAAAAGAAATGTTTTCTTTCTTTAAAAATCTGTTTACTTTATAAGTCATAAAAAATTAAGCAAATAAATTTGCCAATTTTCTCAAATATTTCTCCATCCTTATGTGTTCAGTAAGAAAACCTCATTGCCATGTATTTCCCTTTTTCATGTGGTTTAGAAACTATTCCAAACCTTAACTGCCTTTCTGGTTTACATCTAAGCTTTCCTGCTTCACATCCAGGCAGTGTTCAATTTCAGTCCATTCTCTCTCCAAAAGACCAATGTACTATTCATCTCCGTTTCCGGCTCTAACTCCTGTGCTGTAATCCAGGCCATCATAATTTTTATATGGAGAGTTTAGACAACTTTCTCTCCCAACCTCTAAACTCTTTTTTTAATACATTACTACCCAGGGTGTGGTAGTCGTAGGGTCACCTGCCTTAGAATAGACTGAGCCTAAGGTCCTTGCTAAAAATGTGGTCCTTTAGGGAAAAGGATTCTCTCTAGCTCATCTTTAGATAATGTTATGCCTTGCTCAGAGTAAAGGTGCCTCAACAAACATTTAAGTAGTGGAAACTTCATTTTTATAATATAGTACAGCTTTACAGTTTACTTTCACTTATTTCATTAACTTATTTACCTGGATTATTCAGTCTTCTGAAATAAAACATAAGCCCTTTTCTTTTTTTCCTTTTTTCTCTTTGTAGTATTTATAGACCTGAATGTATTATTCACTAAGAATACAAATTAGCAACTTTTGAAAGCAGAATTAGAATAATATAACTAACATAGTCTTGTCCAGGCACAGTGGCTTCTGCCAGTAATTTTAGCACTTTGAGAGGCCAAACGGGTGGATCACCTGAGATCGGAGTTCGAGAACAGCCTGGCCAACATATCGAAACCCCATCTCTACTAAAAATACAAAAATTAGCCAAGTGTGGTAGTGGGCACCTGTAATCCCAGCTACTTGGGAGGCTGAGGCAGGAGAATCACTTGAACCCAGGAGGCAGAGGTCGCAGTGAACCAAGATCTTGGCACTGTACTCCAGCCTGGGCGACAGAGTGAGACACTATCTCAAAAAAACAAAAACATAATATTCTGCCATCTCCATCTTGTTGATCATCTTTTCTTATCCATATTTTTAAATTAGTCAAGAACAATTATTTTCAGTAAGTATTTACTATCTTAAATCTTAGAAATCAAGAAAAAAGAATTAAATTCTTTTGATATATAATTTCTGATTGACAAAAAGCCAATGGCATGTGAATAAAATGACATAAATTGTATTTGCTTTTCCTGAGGAAAAGTTTATTGAGAAAAACACTACTTGTTGTCACCCACAATTATTTTCTCTCTTCAGTGAATTAAAGCTGTAGTATGTGTCAGATTTTCCTAATGATTCTTTTCCCATTTTCTAAAATCTAGGTGTCAGAAAATATTATAAATAATTCAATATATGCAGTCTCTTTAGGAAGCATTTGCTTTTTAAATTCCAAGGGCAAAAATGTGAATGATATGATCACTATATTTGTCTGGTAAGTTTTAGGCACCAACATATTTTGTTCCTTTTTGACATAGGTATATTTTACTAGCTGAATAAAAATGGAACTATGTAAAAATTGTCTCTGGATAAGAAACATTGATAAAACTCTTAAAATATTGAGCAAAAATTGATTTTATTATTAATAAGATCCTTAAAAAACCCAATACAGATTTGTTTACAGGCTTTTATTAATCACTCTTCAAAGTGTCATGAATGTCACTTTTATATTTTTCAATTTATATAATACATGCTGCCTTGGTGCTTAAGAACATAATAAAAAAATGAAAACCTAAACTAATCAAAAGCTTCCCACGGTAGTGAACATAACCTAACATGAAACTATTCTGATGTCTCCCCTTTCAGTGGCTTTTGGCATAAAAATACACTTCGTACAACTATCGTTTCTATTGACTTCATTTGGAATCTCCACAAAAAATTTTCGTTTTCCTTATGATTAATTTTTAAAAATATTTTTAACATAAGAATTACTGAAAGGAATTAGTGTAGATGTTATTTTTAGCATAAATATATATGTATGAACGTATGCATTAAATTTTTTTCTGACAGTCTTAACATTATGATCTTGGCTGTGCTTTCATGGCTAAATGTTGTAGTCTGTCATTTACCAAGTATAAGAACATCTTTATAACATCAAGTACTTATAGTGGTCAAGTACACAGGTTTTAGAGTGAGATAGTCATGGATTTGAATGACAGTTCTGTTTCTTTGCTGTCTATTCAACCTCACTCAGCCTGAATCTCCTCAATTGTAATGTAAAAAAAAAAAAAAAAAAGCCCACCATATGAGATAGAAATGTTGTGAAGATTAAAGTATATTCAAAGTATCTGGAACAAAACAAAATACTTGGAATGTGAGATGCAGCTATTATCCATAATCATGTACAATTTAGTACCCATTAACTGCAATATTCATAGACTTCTTACCCCAGGTTAGGCAAATTATGGTATTAAGTAAAACTCAAGAACTTTAGGTTATTTTTGGTTGCACATTTTCTTCTAGTGACTCAACCAAAATTTCCACTTTGAGGATATTTTTAGAGAAAAATACTTTTTAAAATTTTTCTTAACCTTCATAGTGAAGGAATTAACTCTTAAAAAGAAATAAGACAGTTATTTTAAAAAAGATGTCTTCTATATCTGAATATATTGTTTTGGACTATAAGGTAATATAACATAATGTATTTGTTTTGATTGACACATACAGGATACATGTATTTATGTGCTAAGCACGATTATTTTTATAATACACTAGTATTGTTTGGTGTGTGCCTCCACTAGGAGGCTTATCATAGGAAATCTCAAATATATACACAAGTAGATGGACTGATAATATATGCCTTTTACCCATCATAAACTTTAGGAATTATCATTTGGACCAATACCGTTTTACATGTACCCTCATCTACTTCTCCCTTCCCAAATTTGTTGAAGGAATGTTTCCATTTGTGTTTCTAAAAGATAGGACTCATAACCATAGCACCATTATTGTACTTTAATATGTAATTTCTTTTTCATTTTTTTCATTTTTATAAGTACATAGAGGGTATATATATTTATGGGGTATTTGAGTTTTGTTTCTTTGTTTTTGTTTTTTTGAAACAGGGTCTTACTCTGTCGCCCAGGCTGATCAAATCCAGGTTTGATTTTTGTGTGTATGTGTGAGGGGCAATACTACTTTATAGGTGATTGTATGAGCCTCCATGAGGAGGCTAACATCTGTCTAGTTGTGTCTCTTTTTGATGATAGGCAGCCATTCAAGTTCATTGCTTTGGTCCACTAATTCATTAGGTATTGCGGAATGCTGATATTCTAACTCTTTCTGTCTTAATTTATTAGCTGTAATATTTATTAAGAGAAATTTTCATCTATTATTTAGGTAGCTTAGTGTTTTGGTTTAACTGGTACCCAATAAGATCAATCTATAGTGGCATCATTGCACAACTAATATTTTTAAATATCTGCTAACTCAGTGGTCATTATAGTTCAGAAAGTGTGATTAAGATGTATATATCTGTGTTTATAGATACAAATACAAATCTCTATATATATTTAATAAAGCTTAAGTCATTAAAGTAAGAATATTAAAGGTATGCCAAAAGCCATAAACAATTATATATCTAAGTTTAATTTAAAAATAAAATTCCTGGCCAAATGTGGTAGCTCATACCTGCAATCCCAGCACTTTGGGAGGCCAAGGTGGGCGGATCGCCTAAGGTTGGGAGTTCAAGACCAGCCTGACCAACATGAAGAAAGCCCGTCTCTACTAAAAATACAAAATTAGCCGGGTGTGGTGGTGCATACCTGTAATCCCAGCCACTTGGAAGGCTGAGGCAGGATAATTGCTTTAACCCAGGAGGCAGAGGTTGCGGTAAGCCGAGATTGCGCCATTGCACTCCAGCCTAGGCAACAAGACCAAAACTCCATCTCAAAAAAAGAAACAAAAGAAATTCCTAAAGTTTATACCAATGTTAAACATTTTTAAATGTATATGATTTTTAGCTAGAATTTTCTGACATTTTGGTCTCTTGTGTTGATTTTATTTGTAATATATTATTTCTATAAAATGTTAATCAAAAGGGAATGCAGTGGTGTCTTTTGAAAGAAGAGGATGTCATTCCTCGTATCAGGGCAATGGAAGGTCGTAGAGGAAGACCACCAAATCCAGATAGACAGCGAGCAAGAGAGGAATCCAGGATGAGACGTCGGAAGGGTCGACCTCCAAATGTTGGCAGTGCTGAATTCCTAGATAACACAGATGCAAAGTTGCTAAGAAAACTGCAAGCTCAAGGTAGGAAACGTGTCTGACACTAATAAACCTACTAAAAAGTATACTAAAATGTTTTTGACTTAGGATTGATACTGCTCTCAATTTTTAAAAAGTAAATATTTATGTTAGAATAAAATGAAGAAATAAGGAGTTCCTACTGGTAACTGGAATTCTTTGATTAGGTAATCTTTCAAGAACTGTTACTCATAAACACATCCTATCCTGTGTAATTAGAACAAAGTGAGTGTTAAGCTTTTGAGGCTTGCACAGAAAGGGAATCAACCAGCACTTGGCACATGCCTTAAGGTTGTGCCAACCTTCTGGAAATTCTCATTTTAACAGCTCCCAATTCCTTGAGGTGGTACATGGGAATAACTCCAAAATATGTGGATCTATGGAGTAAATTTTCAGTCAGAGAACTCCAATTACTGGTAAGTAACCCCAGTCTTTCAGTTCGGGTTCTCCTGTAGTCCAGATATAGATAGTATATATTTTTTCGGAATACCAAATTAATACATTTAAATCAAAAAGTTACTTTAAGATAAGCAGAAGGTATCATTTATCAAGCTCAAACTGCTCATAATGACCTAAACTGTATAATTGAATTGACATTATACAATTCAATAATTCTCAACATCAAATTCCCATGCTGTGTATGGCAAAGAGAAGGATGAGTAAAATAGAAACTAGTAAAATAGTTGCTAGTAACTAGTAAAATAGTTGCTAGTGGCAAATATGAAGAGACTTAAGGCTGTCTGAATATATCAACATATGTGTAGATGTCTTATAGTTGCAAGGCATATACACAAAGATATATAACAATGTAAAATAAAGGTTTAATAGTGAAAACTGACATAAAAATCTCACAGAATTTTACTTCTCTTAGGTTTCTTATTATCCCTATAAATAAGCAAAATGTGAAGGAAATGCATAAAAGACTTATTTGTATGTATTATAAACACCGTCATAATATTGACTTCTCTGTTACTGCTTTGTTTGTATTATAAAACAAATTTTCATGACAAAACTCATAGAACAGAATGCTTTAAAGACACATGTAATTTCAATGCTTTGGGAGGCCAAGATGGGAGGATTGTTTGAGGCCAGGAGTTTAAGACCAGCCTGGGCAATGAAGCAAAACCCCCATCTCGACAAATAAAATTTAAAAATCTGCCAGGTGTGGTGGCACACACCTATAATCCTAGCTATTGTGGAGGCTAAGATGGGAGGATCCTGTGAGCCCAGGAATTTCAAGGTTACAGTAAGCTGTGATCTTGCCACTGCACTCTAGCCTTGGCAACAGAGTGAGACCCTGTCTCTAAGGAAATAAATAAAATAAAAGACACTCTGATTCTTATCAGTGGAATAATTACTCTTTCCAGAAATATGTTTACACATACAAACACATGTAACCACTCATATATACATATATATCCTTTCTGATTTTTAAAATAAATGGACTTGAATCATTCTCTTATTGATGACTGTTTAAGCTATTTCCAGATCTTTGCTATCATACAATTGTATTAAATATATATTACACATATCTAAACATATGTTATACCTAAACATATTACACAAATCATTTTCAAGTTTTTTTAGATAGCAAGCAAATATTGTGTCTAATTCACTCTTTGACTGATAGCTTGTTAACTGGCTAGCATATAACTTAATATCATATAAATTTTTTTTGTCTTAGTATGTGTATTAGTCTATTCTCGCAGTGTTGTAAAGTTACTATCTGAAACTGAGTAATTTATAAAAGAAAGAGTGGCGGGAGGTGGAGGGGACCTGGGGAGGGATAGCCTGGGGAGAAATGCCAAATGTGGGTGAAGGGGAGGAAGGCAGCAAAACACACTGCCATGTGTGTACCTATGCAACTATCTTGCATGTTCTGCACATGTACCCCAAAACCTAAAATGCAATAAAAAAAAAAGAAAGAGGTTTAATTGGCTCACAGTTTCTCAAGACTGGGGAGGCCTCAGGAAACTTAGAATCATGGCGGAAGGGGAAGCAGCCACCTTCTTCACAAGGCACCAGGAGAGAGAGAGCAGGGGAATCTGCCACTTATAAAACTATCAAATCTTGTGAGAACTCACTGTCATGAGAACAGCATGGGGGGAACCCCCACCGCCATGATCCAGTCCCCTACCACCAGGTCCCTCCTTTGACCCATGGGGATTACAGTTTGAGATGGGATTTGGGTGCAAACACAGAGCGAAACCATATCAGTATGCTAGTCAGATTTTTAAAAATTGTTTTGGTTTCTTATAAGACTTTCATCCCAAAGAGTTATTGATAAAGGTTAAAAATAAAAAGTCAATAAATCTACAGGCATAGATGGGTTTTAAAAATTGTTATTGTCAATAAGCTATTGACTCTTCTGAATAATGCTTAATGATAGGGAATGTGGACATTGTTTGCATGAAATAAGAAAGCTTGAAAATAACTGATAACCAAAAATGGGCTCTTCATGCATATTTGGTGTATCTAAGTATCATTATGAGTTAGTATTTAAGATAGCAAATTTAGATTTTTTTTTTTTTTGAGACAGAATCTCACCCTGTCACCCAGGCTGGAGTGCAATGGCACGATCTCAACTCATTGTAACCTCTGCCTCCCAGGTTCAAATGATTCTCCTGCCTCAGCCTCCTCAGTAGCTGGGATAACAGGCACCTGCCACCACACCCAGCTAATTTTTGTATTTTTGGTAGGGACGGAGTTTCACCATGTTGGTCAGGCTGGACCTTATGATCCATCTGCCTCGGCCTCCCAAAGTGCTGGGATTACAGACATGAGCCACCACACCTGGCCTAAAATAGCAAATTTAAATTTGCAAAATTAATTATATATTTTTTGTAACAAAGTAGAATTATTCAATTTTACTGAATGTTATTCTCTCTCCAGATTTCAAATTGATTTGTATTCAATTACATAGTTTACCCTGGTTATAATATATTGGATTGCATTTTGCAAGTTCTGTTACCTTTGATCTTATTGATATTACATGTGTTCTTTCTCAACATGTATGTAAAGGTTATTTAACAGTAAGTAATCATTATTAATATTTACAAGTATATGGAGTATTGTTCGCATTTTTTCTTGAGAAGAAGAGAAAGTAAAAATGAAGCACTTTATCACCTCTTTCATTGCTGAAAGCCTTCTATGTTAAACTTTGGGGATTATCTTAGAGAATTCTAGAAGAAGTTTTTGTTATGTATTATCCTGTTATGATCAACTAGACTGAAAAATCAGACTTAACTTGAAGAAAGTTTCAGAATAGTGAGATAAATGTAAGTTTTGAATGTGCATCCAAACATTGTGAAATGAGAGCTCTAATTTCTCAGAGTATAGAGACAAAGTTTGGATAAAAAGACTTTCATTCTGTATAAATAAAGCTACTTGTTGATTGACTGATACCATTAATATCTCAAATTTCCAAAATATCAAGTAGCATCTATTTATTTCATATGTGATAGAAACTGAGATGCCTGTAAGTAATCTCTACCATGCACCACTATTTTAAGGTGTATACTAAGAAAGCAAAGTGCTGCCAGTTGTCAGATACATTCTGACCTTAGGGATGTCAAAATGTTTAAAAATGCATCTTAGGATTAAAGAAATGAGTTACATCCAAAATATCCCTAATTCTATGTGATAATAAACTTCATCTTTGAAATTAAAGTGGGCAATTTCTTAAGCCACAAAAGATACTTTTCCAATTAATATTTAAAAGGTAATTATAATATATTCACCAACCAAAAAAAGCAAATAAATGAGAATATATTGCAAGCAGTTTATTTCTACAGTTTGGGTGAACTTTTCTAGGTATCTAAATCATTGTCTTTCCTCTATACTGTCTTTTTTTCTTCTCTCTTTTTTTTTTTTTTGAGATGGAGTTTCACTCTTGTTGCTCAAGCTGAAAAGTGCAAAGGTGTGATCTCAGCTCATTGCAACCTCTGCCTCCCAGGTTCAAACAATTCTCCTGCCTCAGCCTCCTAAGTAGCTGGGATTACAGGCATCTACAACATCACCCAGCTAATTTTTTGTATTTTTAGTAGAGATGGGGTTTCACCATGTGTGTCAGGGTGGCCTCGAACTCCTGACCTCAGGTTGATCCACCTGTCTTGGCCTCCCAAAGTGTTGGGATACAGGCGTGAGACACTGCACCCAGCCTTTTTCTTTTCACGTCATCTTCTTTTCCAACTGCCCATAATGTAAAATTTAAACTATGTTATTTTTGAAACAGAGTCTTGCTCTGTCACCTAGACTGGAGTACAATGATGCAATCTCAGCTCACTGCAACCTCTGTTTCTCGGGTTCAAGTGATTCTCCTGCCTCAGCCTCCTGAGTAGCTGGGACTACAGGTGCGCGCCACCACACTCAGCTAATTTTTTTGTGTTTTTGTAGAGATGGGGTTTCACTATGTTGGCAAGGCTGGTCTCAAACACCTGACTTCATGATCCGCCTGCCTTTGCCTCCCAAAAGCTATGTAAATTTTGAATGATTAATTAAAATGTTATATTTCTTACTAAAGTTAAAAAGATACAAGTTGAACTTTTAAATTTTTTTGCCCCAAAGATCTTTTAAATTACTGGCCAGACACAGTGGGTTATACCTTTGTAATCCCAGCACTTTGGGAGGCTAAGGTGAGAGAATTGCTTGAAGTCGGGAGTTTAATACCAGCCTGGGCAATAAAGCAAGCCTAGTATCTACAAAAATAAATTTTAAAAAAATTAGCTGGGCAAGGTGGTGCACTCTTGTAGTCTGGCTATTCAGGAGGCTGAGGGGAGAGGATCACTTGAGCCCAGGAGTTGGAGGCTACTGCGAGCTATGATTGTGCCACTGCACCTGGGTTACAGAGTAAGACCTTGTCTCAAACAAATAAAAATTATTGTGCACTTGTGTAGGGCTTGAAATTGACTGATACATTCACACACAAACATGATCTATGTGTATTATAGAATTTTCTTATTTAAAGTTAAACTTACATTAGAGAATATGGGTTTAATTTGGAGCAACAGATTATACTTATGACATATTTTCTAGGATATGATTGTTTTTATTGCATTTTAGGTTTTGGGGTACATGTGAAGAACATGCAAGATAGTTGCATAGGTACACACGTGGCAGTGTGATTTTCTAGGAAATGTTTTTATCAGCACATCTTTACATCTCAAGACAGGCTACTACAGGAGAATTCAAAACTTTCAATTCTTAAAGAAATATTTATCTGGCATTGTTATATATGAGAATAATATTCTTCTTGTATATTATTAGCAAAAGTTGCTGACCCTGCAGGTCAGTTTATAAGTTTTTATGTCCCAGAGTATTTAGTGAACAGGAGATCCTTTCTGTGTGACCCAGAAATTTTTGCTGATGCCTGTAACCTCCTAATATTGAAAATGGTTGGGACATTGGAGATATACTTTATCATCATCTTCCATTTTATTTTTCATTAAGACTTCCAGTTTACTAGATGAAGTTAGGCCTTTTTACATCTCTTCTCCTTTTTAAAAATCTCAGTGATAGAAAATTGACCATAGTGACCAACTTTTTACTTCTGCTATTATGAGGACATAGGGTTAAGTTCTTAGCTAAAATCTTAAGATGTTCAAAGTTTGCTTAAAAAAGTTTTAGAGATAGTAGCATATAGACTATGGAATCAGAAAGTCCTGGGGTTTCTTTGGGGCTTTTGTCTCGTTGGAGTGCAGTGGTGCAATCTCAGCTCACTGCAACCTCTACCTCCCAGGATCAAGCAGTTCTCCTGCTTCAGCCTCCCAAGTAGCTGGGATTACAGGTTCCCACCAGTACACCTGGTTAATTTTTGTATTTTTAGTAGGGATGGGGGTTTTACCGTATTGGCCAGGCTGCTCTCGAACTCTTGACCTCAGGTGATCCACCCACCTGGCCTCCCAAAATACTGAGAATACAGGCGTCAGCCACAGTGCCTAGCCAGTCCTGGGTTTTTTCTTGGCTATGCTGTTTAACCTACCCTGTAGGACCCTTAGTTATTTTATGTGTAAGCTGGGCAATAATGTTGATTTTATAATGTAGCTGTGAACATTAAACAAGGTGATGTAAACGTAACACAACAGTACCTGCAGTCAATAAATGGTGGAAATTTTTAGAACTCAAAGTGATTCTTGTGTTAGCAATTATATTAACTGTCAATAAATGTAATTTAGGTTTCTTTGTTCAGTGGCTACAGAATTTATAACAATGTCTAATATAAAGTGATGCTTTCTAAAATAGTTATATGAGCACTTTTAGAGTTAGAGGTATTCAGGCCAAGTTTGCCAGCAGAAGAAAGCAAAGATATTACATGGTTTCAGTATCCATTATACCCTTTGCCACAATAGTACTCAGTAACAACCACCAAACCTTAGTAGCATACAACACTGTCTTAATCACTTGTGCAGATGAAATCAGCTGGAAATTAGCTAAGTAGCTTTGCTTATCTTGGCTGGACTTGTTCACATTTGTGGGGTCACCTGGCCCCCTGTGTTCCAATCGTCCAATAACCTAGCCTTCAAGTCATATCTCCAGTATTGGGCAAAGCACAAAAGCAAAAGCAGAAACAATACAACTAAACTTTCAGGCTCTGTTTTTATCACTACTGTTAACATCCTTTTAACCATGGAAAATCACATGGTTGAGTTCAGAATCAAGGGACAAGAAAATATATTCCACCTCTTGATGGGAATTGCTACAAAGTCACATTACAAATGGCATGGAAAAGGGAGGAATGAAAAATTGGGGCCATTAATTTTGTTCATCTACCCTAGTTTCATACATGTGTCCTTGATAATTATAAAAACTATGTTGTCTTTAAAAGTCATTGACATTCTGCATTTATTTTATTTGGGAGATTTAGTCCCTCTCCTCCATATATGAAAATACCACTGGATTCAGGAACTTAACCTTTATAGCTAATTGAAATATGAAGTTTGGGTGGGAGGGAACTTTGTATTTATTTTAATTGGGAGTCTTTCTTATATGTTAAGACTGAAGCTACATTACAATTCTTACGGTATTAGCAGCTATTTCCCTACTAAGTGGGATTTACTTGAAGTGTGAAAAAAATGTACTTAAATGAGCCTCTTTGATAAAGATTAAAAGAAACATCATTTTTATGTAGTCCTATATATGGAATCAAGTTTGATGAAATAATTTGACAGTTTCCATCGGAATGAACATGACATTGTCTACCATACCACTTTCCTACTTGTATCTGTCTGACCTTAGGCAATTTTCTCAAATATTATATCCTTTATGATGATACCATTTTCACACAGTTATTGTTTTAGGTTAGCAGTTATAGAAAGTTATTAATACTCTTTGAAATTTTGTGTTTTTCAGAAATAGCCAGGCAAGCAGCACAAATAAAGCTTTTGAGAAAACTTCAAAAGCAGGAACAGGCTCGGGTTGCTAAAGAAGCCAAAAAGCAGCAAGGTGAGTGATTTAAATGATAGCATGAACTTGAAGAGTCAGTACTGGGGAAATCATAAGAGGCTTCTTTTCTTCATTCCCTTTTTGATGATATCTATCCTTTGGTTTCTCGTCATAGCAATAATGGCTGCTGAGGAGAAGCGAAAGCAAAAAGAACAGATAAAGATTATGAAACAGCAGGTATGTGTATACATTGGAACTGACTTTTAAAATATGGGACTTATTTCGAGGATTTGTTAGTAATGTACATTATTTTTTATTTCTTAAATAACTATATTTCACATTTATGTTTGTGTCTTATTTAGAAAGTTGCTATCTTCTATTAAAAATTTACCTTACTTTTTAATAAAGTCTTCTACTTCAAAGTGTTTAAAGAAATGATTACCAAACAGTAAATTTGAATAAGTACTTTAATATCCTAGTAGACTTTGACTATAAGCTAATATCTTGAATAATTTTCAGAATTTTTAAATTAGTGTATCAACGAAGTTGATGTTCAAATGTTCAAATTTTAATAAAAGCTTGTTGTTCTTAAATATGTAAAATGTTAGTATAAAATTAAGTTTAGGTTATACAAAATAAGATTTGCCTTCATTGTTTCTGAATGCTTTCAGGGTTACTTAAAAGTTGCTACTTCAAAAAAAGATGATGAGAGAATTATTTTAGCATATCCAGAGTTCTCTGTTTTGAATCTACAATATTTCTCCCCATATGGTTTTCAAAATTAGGTTTAGGTAAGAGAAGTAATTTTTAAATTTTCATAGGTAAAAATTAGTGAGAAGGTATTCAGCTTTATTTTAGATTAGAATGTGTAAACTACTCTTCCTTCTCCTCATACTCATGGTAACATTAAAGCAGAAAGCAAATGGGGAGAAAATACTATTATTTTTAAAATGTTAGGTAGCAAGTAGTTATTTCTAAGAATGAAATGAAATCAATTATGTTACTATATAAATACCAGCTAAATAAATGGCTTAGGTTGGATTTGATGTGATTATCTCTAAGGTTTCTTCCAGTATTCTCTAAAGTAATATGACTAGAGAAGTTGATACAGAATTGAGATTCAGGATTTAGAGTTTGTAGTCAGGCAGCCTACAGTTAAATGTGGACTCTGCTGCTTAATAATTTTGTTAGCTTAGATGAATGGCTTAACCCGTAAGTCTTTATTTCTTCCATCATAAAAGAAGTTAACTGCAGTATCTGAATAAATGAGATAATGAATGTAAAGTGCCTACTGCAGTGCCTGGCAACAAAACACATGCTCAACTTTTTAAAAATAAATATAAAACATCCCAACTACATAGTATACTTTTTTACCACCGTAATTTAAAGTAGTCAGTTGTAAACTTGAATTCCATCCTTAGTTTGTTAATTGTGACTGCTAGAAATTGTAAGATTGATCTGAAATAGGCTAATGAATGCATTTGTTAAATATATTTACTAGAGTATATGCGTAACAATAAGTTTATATTTCATTTTAAGTGAAATACTGTTGTTTCTGTTATACTTCTGTGTTGAAAGTTTTATAGCTTATTCTGTTTGCTAATGGCTGGAGACTCATTAGATCTTGTCAGCACTTTAAATTCACCTTTATGATCCTTAAGTCTTACGGTAGCTATAACCTAAATCCACATGGTCTTTGCTTCTCATCAAGAAAGCATTGAGCTCCAAAGTTTCCAGCAACATTAATGCAAATCAACTGATCTTAATATTTATCAAGATATTTACATCTGAGGCCAATCTCAGAATACTATCTGATTTATTTGATTCAACAAAGTGAATCAAAGTATAGAATAATTCTACTCATACTATCTGTTATATAGTATGAGTAGAATTATAAACTCAGCATTCAACGTAGAATAAAATAGTAGCATGTGTTTTCATCTTTTGGATTATTTTTTTACCTACTGGACTAAAAATATCACCAGATAGTTCTTCAGGCAGTTTCTGGAAGATTTCAGAAATATTCTTACAAAGCAGGAGGCACAGTGGCATTGTGATCTGACCAGGACTCTATATTTACTAAACATTGGACTTTAGACAAAATATTTACTTTCTGAGAACCTCAGTTTTCTCTTATGTAAAAAGAAGATAATTTAAGCTTCTCCTATTTTTTTAATGATCAACAAGATACTAAATATAACGTGACTGGCTCAGTGGTTGAGTACTCAACATTATAAAGTTAACCTATATTATATTAATTTACCATGTTTATCTACATGCTTATGATAGCCCTACCACACACATATGGATATATATAAAAGTCACTTCAACAGTTAAGGTAAAGTTTTAAACTGTGTTCATAAGCCCCAAGATTCTCTACCTATTTGTCTGCATAGGAGAACAAGTGATTTTGCTGACTTTAAAACATAGCACTTAATAAAGTTAGGATTGACAAGCGCAGAAAAGTTAGATCAAGAGTATACTTTTCTCAGATCTCAAGTTCTAATTCTAATAAATACTTCAAAAATGAATTAAATACAATCTTTTCTAAGACTTGGAAATTACGCAAAAGATACACTTTGGGGTTTTGGGTTTTTTTTTTGTTTGTTTGTTTCATTTTGTTTTGCTTGTTTTGCTTTGTTTTGAGACAGAATCTCCCTCTGTTGCCCAAGTTGGAAGTGCAGTGGTGCGATCTCCGCTCACTACATCCTCTACCTCCCAAGTTCCAGCAATTCTCCTGCCTCAGCCTCCCAGGTAGCTGGGATTACAGGCATACACCACCATACCCAGCTAATTTTTTGTATTATTAGTAGAGATGGGGTTTCACCACCTAGCACTGTTTGTTTCTTGACCTCAGGTGATCCGTCCATCTCGGCCTCCCAAAGTGCTAGGATTACAGGTGTGAGCCACAACACCCAGCCCACTCTGGGGTTTTTATTTTTGACAACCTACAATTAATATTCAGTACCAAGATAGTATCACCAAAGTCAAAGAATGTGATCAGTCTTGTGAAATCAGAACAGTAATTTCTAAAATTTCATCATCCTGCAGTAGACTCCTACAGGGAATCAATGAGTGTATATAAAAAGATATTAAAATGCATATTAAAGTGTAGCTGCAGTAGGTACAACTAGCATCTGGAAATGGGAGCAGGCGTTGTGAAATACAGGTCTATAAAATGTGTTGGCTCTGGAAATTCTAGGACAAGTACAATTTTCAAATAGGAAACTTTGAATTTTCTTTTTTAACTTGTATTTATTCTCATCAATGCCAATTTAGGACTTTTGAAGGGATTAAGGAACATGAAATTGCTAAGAATGTATTTAGAGCATATGAGATAATTTTTAGAATTAATATTAAATGTTTATCAAAATTTATATGATTAATAAGTTAGAAGACATATCCAATAACCAGTTCATTAAATTTAGATAATGTGTACCACAATTATGTCCTACATATAATTCCCTGGAATGTTAAATTATAATTAATTAATTAATTAATTAATGTTACAGGTTATTTCTGAAATGGGCTAATTGTGGTAGTTAAAAGCAATGTTTTATTGTGCTGTTCAACATGTGAAAATAAATTTTAGAATGGAAATTATTGTTAATAATAATGTTACAATTGTGTCACTATATACTTTTTAAAACATTTTATTTAATCGTGACAAATGAGAAAGGGCGAACACCTCTCTATTTTACAGAATAATAGTTATTATTTACTTAAGATCATTCAATAAATGACCATAATCTAAAACTAGCCTTATGTTTTCTGACTGCTGATACATGATTTTTCTGCTATTCAGTCCTATATTTATTTCAAGTTAAGTATTATTTGTAATTGCAAATATTTATAAAGCTCTTGAGGCTATATGAGTTTAATCAGCTTGGTTTACTGAGTTGCTATTTATTTGGCCTTTGCATTTTACAAATTACTATGAGAAACTTTATCAAATCATATTAATTTAAGACACGAAAATAAATATGATTTTATACTAAATAATTAAATTTTTATATTCAAACTTTGGTAATTTTGTGCTTATAACTTCAATTATTTGATTCCACTCAAATACTCTTTACTCAGATAGTTTATTTTATTATCTGAAGTTATCATAACTTTTCCTACAGGAAAAAATTAAGAGAATACAGCAAATCAGAATGGAAAAAGAACTTCGAGCTCAGCAAATTCTAGAGGTAGAATTCTTAAATTTAATATAATTAAAGTAATATAGTCATATATTTTAAAGTCTGCAAAAATAAAAATTTTGCATGCATGTTTTCTCACACAAATTAATATGTTTGTCAGATATTCTCTTTAAGCATTCTGCATAGAATAAAACTTTATCTGAGCCTTATTTAGCAAGCTAATCTAATCGTAACAGTAAAGATGTACAAAATGAGACACAAGAGACAGGAAAACTTGTGAGCAGTCAATAGAGTTGTCATAAAGTTCATGTGCTAAAATGTTTTACTTTTATAAGAATAAACAACAAAAGAAAAATCATTAGGGCTTATACTACGATACTTTTAATTTAGAAACAAATGTTTACAGAAGTAAACATTTGAAAAGTAAAAGTAAATTTTAAATGTACAAAGTTTTATCAGATTGTTTTTCTGGTTTATAGCATATCCCTCTTCCCTGCAAGCTGATTAGAGTAGAGATAGAGAACATCTGTTGGCAACAGCAAAACTCGTAGGTAAAAAACAGCAAAGGAAAAATACGGGAAAACTTCATCTAGCATATATAGGAACTGAAAAGCCTGGGAACAGCCAGTAATCTTTTATTTGAATAGCAAGCAGTTTTCAAACTTTAATAGCCCAAAGGCATTACTCTTTGGAGTGGTGCAGTATAATAACTGATGTTCAAAATAATTGCTCTGAGTCATCAAGAAAATGCCAAATTATATTTAGTGTACTGTGTCTAAGCAGGTATATCTTGGAAGTATTTCCATCTGAAATAGTGAAAATAAACTTTTCATGTTTAAAATTATTACAACTTCTCCACCATTCAGAAAACTGCTGCTTTATAGAACAGTTTATTCCCTGAGGGCTGCAGATAGCTGAGGTTTTCTATGTTACAGTTGGATTCCTTCTAGCAATACATATTTTCTTACCCATTTCAAATTAATTTTAAAAAATTGAAAATATTTTCTTTTAAAGTAAACTGACAATAATTGCTAGATAGTGATGAAACTTCTATACAGTTAATGACTTTAAGATTATGAAGCTTATGTTTGGTAAATAGCTTGATCTTAATAGACTGTGCCTCATGAAAGATAAGATTACAAGTTTTCATTCTGTTAAAAAAAAAACCTTGAATTTAATCGCAATATACAGAGATAGGGAAAATCAGACTTAATATGCTTCATTTAATAGGTATATACCAATAATGAATTTCTTTATTTCAAATTTTCAAGTTTAAAAAATTTTAAATAACGTTAACATGTTTATTCTCAAATATTACTAATTCTTGAAATAATTTTTATCAGTTAAAATCCATTATGTTTTCTAAATTTTTTACAGTTTTAAAATCAGAAAAACAATATGACATAAAATCATTTTTCTGTGATTAAATTTTAAGGTAAAATACCATAAACACTCAATTATTTCAGACTTTTAACAAAGCTCAAAGAAGAAAAGCTGCCATATTCTTAAGAATCTAAGAAATTTTTGTGTATTCCAATGCTAATCTATAAATTAGAAACAATATTATTATGTTAAACATAATGTTAACTGGGGGAAATCTGTAATTGTCTACATATATGTTATATATTGTTTCGTACGTTGTGAGACGTGTAGCTTCATTTCAAGTTTGAGATTATTTGCAAGTTGTAGTGGTGCTGTTGCATGACTTTGAGACCTGTTTTGCATGCACAGGCTAAAAAGAAAAAGAAGGAAGAAGCGGCAAATGCCAAATTATTGGAGGCCGAGAAACGAATAAAGGTTAGTTTAGATGAGAATCAGAGTTTTTATTTTTGAAAAATAAAAACTATACATTATACTAGCATCAATTTTATGAAAAAAATAGCTTTCTTCAACATGACTGTCTAAAAATATATTTAGCATATACAAGTGTATAATACATGTTTTTATATGTATGAATATTGTATGTGTATTTTTATTTTATTATGCAGGGTTTCTTGTAATGCTTTGAGCTCTTTAAATAGGAGACATCAAATCAGTAATGCAAGTTGTTGCTTAATACCTGTGTGTAGTTTTGCTAGATAAGAATGACTCCACCAAAACTGTTTTGTGTGTTATTTATGTTTATGTTTATGTTTATGTTTAGACATGGACTAGATATGGTATGGGTATGTTTATTTTTGTGTCTCAATCTGATTCCCCCCTTTATAACTTTTTCTTTGTTAATATTTAGCAACTGTTTTATTTATTAAAAATGAAAAGCCTACAGAAACAAAAGCCAAACTTCATCAACTGTTATTTACCAATAATAAAATTAGCTGGTTTATTTAGTTTCAAGTGTTTGCGGTGTTTTGTTCTGATTTCCTGGCATGGAGTATAAGAGAGTTGTCCCCTTCCTCCCCAACCCCACCCTGCCATCCACCAGTAACTGAATACTGAAAGAGGGTAGCTGGGTGAGCCTACTAGTACTGGAAACAGCCACCACAGTTACACCTTGTAAAGCCAGGGAACTGTTTATCTCTTCTACATAGACTCTCTGTGTTTATTTTTAAAATTTCTACCTTTTCATGCCTGCTCTTAATGTTAATTTCATCCTTATTTTACCTTTATAAAAATATTGAGATTGGTGGCATTCCTAGATGGTTTGCTTTAAGCCTCATCCCCTTGGAATGGTGCCCTGAATCGTAGGTGGACAGGAAAATTTCACACTAATCGCCTAATTTTTGTCAATTTTATTCATACACAGTATATAGAAATGAAAAATGATGTTAATTATAGAGTATATTTGGGAGCTAACATTCAGAATGGAGAGAGTTCTAATCAGCTAGATTTGAAGGTTGCACCATAATGTATTAAACTGATTAAAAAATACATGTGTGGGTTATATCTGATAGGTTCTGACCATCTAGCTAGTTAGTTCAATGAATGTACCTTTGAAGTGTGCTGCTAGTTCAGTCATTCATTAAATTTTAAGTTAAAATTACTACTGAAGAAAGATCCTTGCTACCATGTTTACCATATTATACAATTTCTATTAAGTGTTTGTTAGGTAGAGGCATATGAAATTGAATTGACATTTTATAACTAAAAATTGAATATTGGCCATTTCATATGATTCACCCTAATGGAAGACTATAGAATCTCAGAAAAGGGACTTTTAATACTTTTAGCATGTTCTAAATCTTCTCTAAAGATCATGTATTAAAAGTTTCTTATTTTTAAGGAAAAAGAAATGAGAAGACAACAAGCTGTTCTTCTGAAACATCAGGTCTGTATGCATATAGTTATATATCTGTTGAATATATATTTTCTAATATTGCTTAAACCTATTTGGGGAAAAATCTTCAAAATATTTTCTTTAAAATTTCTGATATAATTTCTGCTTAAGTTTTTCTTTCATCTTACAGTTTATTGCCTTGCTTTGGTATTGGTGTCTTTTTGGGGGGTTAAAATTGGTTTTATGACTCTGTGATTTCTGTTTCATAATGTTGTGCCAACTCTTTCTACCAGGAGTTGGAGAGGCATAGACTAGATATGGTATGGGTATGTTTATTTTTGTACATCTAACACCGCATTGTGATTTGGTTGTGATATGGTTGTCATAGCAATGCATAAAGTGTAGCACTGGCTGCTGTCATATTACATACTGCTGCATGGCTTTACAGCACAGTGCATTGCATACATCTGCTTGTCTGTCTATAAAGAAGTATGACGCATCTCCAAGATTTTACATTGAATTGTACCAGCCTTAAATAAGGCTGCTCTCTAAAAATTTACATTACTGATGTCACAGAGAAAGTTGGATCACTGTACAATTAGATACAATTATGATCCATATTCTCCCATCATTCTAGATGCAAAACTGCCATTGAATACAGTGGGAATTTTGAGTTTGCTTGATGAGAGAATATGAATTATATTCTGGTTTCATAGACAAATTTTAGAAATAACTTTAGAAATATCCCTTTGGAGAAACCAAATGTGCTTAAACAAAAAAAGAATTGATTAGATATTTTAAATATGTGATTTTTTTTATTTTAAAAGTAAAGTGAGATTATCAAATAAAACTAGTGCTTATCTTATTTTCATACTGTGCCTTTAAGATTCCACCTGTTAGCCCATGGTGCAGCTTTTGTGGCTTTAAATAGTACATCAGGTGGCAGACATCAGTAAACAGGAATATCCCATTTTATTAGTATTCTATATGAAACAAGACTAGTTTAACTAAATTGATATTAAAACCCTTAAAAAATATCCTCTAATTTGTTGGTGGCTTACTGGATTTACAAAATGATTTTGTCTTTGAAGTAAAGTAACCAACTCCAAAATCATGACATCAAACTATGAATCAATTTCTTCCTGACCTAAAATTTTAAGAACAACACAACCTTTAGTTTAATTGGCCATAGTATTTTGGTTTTTCTAATAGCAGATGTAAGGTAACTGACCTGTTCCAGCCAACCATTATGCTTTTTGTTCTGCCAGCTTTTGAAGGAGCATCACAACTGACCATAAGTAAATCTTGTATGCTTCTGTTTACACTGTCTCCATGTTCATTGCTTTACCTTTTTGCTTTTGATTGTTCTTGTATTTGCTTTCTAAACCTGAACTAAAACATGCACAGACTGGCCATTCTTGTCTTATATTTAGTATTTACTGTGACTTGTCTATAAATGCTAAACATGCTATACTGAGTTTTTGTTTTGTTTTTGTTTTTGTTTTTCCATTGGAAAATCAAACTGCTAATTGTGGTTGAGTTATTTTCCAAATTTTATCTGGCCTCATAGGAACGAGAGCGAAGGCGACAACACATGATGCTTATGAAAGCTATGGAAGCTCGTAAAAAAGCAGAAGTAAGTGTATGTTTCTAGAAAAATATCACTGTATAAAGTAATACTTTTTCCTAAAGCATTGGCTCTTCTAAATATACATTTTTCAGAGTATAAGGTTTTTTGTGACTTACTGGCTTTCATAAGCAAACCAAAAGTTTAGAGATAGTAACCAAGTGTTAAAACATAAAAGAATGTAGGAAGGATTCCAATGTATGTGTTGGTTTTCCTGGCTAAGATTTTAATTGTCTTTTTTTAGTGTGGTAAATGACATTGGTTTAGATAAAAGTAGCTATTTATTACTGACACAGAGTTTCACAAAACTAGTATTACAGCATGCCTAGACAAGTCCTATATGTCCTAATTCAAACACAAATCATTCTGACCCTGGATTTCTGCCCTAAGAATTATTCTTTAGCATTCTCTATGTAAAATTAGGTCGAAGTATTTTTCTTAAAATAACTTTTAACAGATAAATCAGGATAAGAAAATTATTGCAGTACATCAGAATGAGCTTATTTGGAGTTTAATAGAAATCACTTAAAGGTTAAAATAAATATATGTTATAAAGGAATAACATTCTGTATTAAAACAGTTGAATACAGTCATTATACTGGGGCTTTGGAGGTTGAAAAACACAGATTCCCCTGCTGGTTCTGCCACCAATTTGCTTTATGTTTTCAATCTACTTCTTTAAAATTAAGATAAAGATATCTACCTCCTAGGATTATGGGATTATCAAGTGAGATAAGCATTTAATAAGGAAGAATTAATGAAAATAACACTGTTTGATCTAGAACTTGGGAGGCCTGTATTTCCGTATTTTGGTCTCAGCTCTAGCTTAAATTAGCAATATAGACAGATGTTGGGACTGTAGAGAAAATAGGTATATTGTTTTGGAACCTGTGCAAAGTAGCCAGATTTTCTGAATTTGAATTCTGATTTCATTACTTTCCAGGTATATGACCTTGGGCATGTTATTTAATTCCTGTGTGATTCATTTCATCTATAAAATAAAGATAATACTAATTTCTGTTTCCTAGGGTTCAAGAGATGATTAGATGGACATGTGTCTCTATGTGTGTAAAGTTCTTAGAACAGTGCCTGGCACCACACAGTACTTAGCCACTGACATTACATATGTGTAGAATAGGCTTAGCAAGATGCATCACCAGGGTTGTGAACTACTGACATAGATTACCTCTTAGCATAGACTTAACATAGCTTGTAACATATATTACAGTGATCATTTTCTGTGACTTTTTTTTTTTTTGAGATGGAGTCTCACACTGTCACCTGGGCTGGAATGCAGTGGCACAATCTCTGCTCACTGCAGCCTCCACCTTTCAGGTTCAAGTAATTCTCCTGCCTCAGTTTCCTGAGTAGCTGGATTACAAGTGCCCGCCACCATGCCTAGCTAATTTTTTGTATTTTTAGTAGAGACAGGGTTTCACCATATTGGCCAGGCTTGTTGCAAACTCCTAACCTCGTGATTCACCTGCCTTGGCCTCCCAAAGTGCTGGGATTACAGGTATGAGCCATCACACCTGGCCTACTTTTCCTAAAGCTATGGAAGTTTTACTCCAACACTTTTCCTGCCGTCTTTTTTTCCCTAACCTTTTGATTATCCAGGCCTATTGACACCCTCTATGCCTAACATAATAATCAAATCTATTTATCTGTGCATGGAATTATAGCCATAGTCTCTGAAAAATGACAGTCAGGGAAAGAGAGAGGTAACATATTCCAGGAATTGGCATGGCTGCTCTCTATTCCCTTATGCAAACAGTACAGTGAAGGGAAGAGTAAGGAAGGGGACTAATTAAAACCTGAACACTGAACCTAATTCCCTCAGTGTGGCGAGATGGAAATGGAGGGACCAATTAATAACCCAGGAAAAAGATGTAGAAAATCCCCCAAGAGACAAGTTCTTCCCTACCAATTGTGGGTTGGTTTGTTTTTAATCAGAAGGAATAAAAAGAACCGGGGCTTGCCATTCTGGTTTTTCCTGGCAGGGAGGAAAGCTAACCAAAATAACACAGAACATTGTCTTCAGGCATACAAGGATTCATTAGAAAAGAAGATACAGTAAAATAGTAAGAATGAGATCATCTGAGGGAGGGAATGCCCAGGTGAAAGACGCACCCCAAAGGCCTCAAAGACGTGAACCCTCCCTCTGGTTTTTCATATTTGCCCACTAGGGCCTGGGGACAGTGGGAAAGCTGCTACAGAGAGGTGAGGAAGATCTGAGTTGAGTAGAGGATGGCAGCCATGGGAGAAATAACGCTGATTAAAATTAGGTATTTTAAGAATCCTTCAAAGCCTAAGAGCACCTCTCAGAGGAAAAGGATATACTGTTGACTAAATAGAGTGAATCCACTACAGTGCTTCCAATAAAACTGAGAAAGAGATTCCAGAAACCTGATACAGCTCTCCCTTTCCTAGGTACATTTGTCCTGAGCAAAAAGAAACAGACATAGAATACAGAATACTCACAAATCTGAAGTATGTATAAGTCAAAAAGCAGGGAGCAGAGAAATGGAGAAGAGCTGAAGGAAAATTAACCCAGCTATATTGGATCAATACAAGTTAATAGCCTTGCACATATTAAGCCTAAATACTTTGAAAATAAATGGCAAGGCAACTGTGTTAAAATACTAAACCAAAATAAAGCCAATAAGTGCATATGTACATGATGTAATGACTTAAATCCTAATAGCTGAAAGAGCCTGGTTTCTCTGTTTTCATTATTGCTTTCCTCAGCAGTCCCTATACATTCTCCACAGAGAAGCTGAAGTGGTCTTTTCAAAAAGTAAACCAGACACTATCCTGACACTATGCAAGGGCTTCTCATTGCAATTGCAGTAAAGTTCAAACTCCTCACCATGGCATTCTCCCACTGAACTCTGCCTATCACTCCAGTTTTACATCATACAATTTGTCCCTTATGCACTATATTCTGGTTATTTTTGTCTTGCTGTTATTCCTGAATGAACAGTGTGTACTATTGCTGTTTTCCACCAAATATTCAGATGGTTCCTATTTGCTGTTCAGTCACCAATCAAATGTTAGCTTTTCACAAAGGCCTTCCCAGCAGGAGAATCACTTGAACCTGGGAGGTAGAGGTTGCAGTGAGCAGATATTGTGCCATTGCACTCCAGCCTGGGCGACAAGAGCATAACTCCATCTAAAAAAAAAAAAAAAAACCTTTCTCAGAACACCTAATTTGCTTTTTCTTACACCCCACCCCATTCATTCATCTTATTGTTTCTGGGCTAGTTTCTCCCAGAATATAAGATCTATGATGACAGGACTCTTGTCTGTCTATACCATTGTATTGCCAGTGCCTCGATTAGAACCAAGTAAATAGAAGGTGCCTAGAAAATTGTAAATGAATGAATAAAGTAAAATTAAAGTGATTGTGACAGAACTAAAAAATCAAATTAGGTACAAAACAATTATTAAATTATACTACTAAGTTTTCTATGTAATTATCTTGATACGATAGTAAAATCTTTTAACTTTATTTTACTCCAGATGGTGTTCTTTTGTTATAGTCAAACACTCAAGGAACTATTATTTTACAATACAATAACATATGCCACAAATAATCCTCAATCAGAATGTTTCAGAGAATTTCACAGGTAAAATTGAATTCTTAAAATGTTATCAGCAGGGAGAGGTGGCTGGCTCACACCTGTAATCCCAGCACTTTGGGAGACTGAGGCAGGAGGATCACCTGAGGTCAGGATTTCGAGACCAGCCTGGCCAACATGGTAAAACCCTGTCTCTATTAAAAACTACACACAAAACAAATTAGCCTACATACTCCCATAATCCCAGCTACTTGGGAGGCTGGGGCAGGAGAATCACTTGAACCTGAGGCAGAAGTTGCAATGAGCTGAGATCATACCACTGCACTCCAGCCTGGGTGACAGAGTGAGATTCAATCTCACACACACACGAGAAAGTTATCCTCTGATAATCATAAACCAGTGAACAGGTGTCATGGACTAGATAATTTTATCAGTCATTTTGATTTTAAATTGTGTTTCTCTAATGCAGGGGTCCCCTGGTCCTCAGACCAGTACCTCCTCCTGAGCCAGATGCCAGAGCTTGACCTCCTGTCAGATCAGTGGCAGGATCAGATTCTCATAGAAGCATGAACCCTATTGTGAACTGCACATGCAAAGGATCTAGGCTACATGCTCCTAATGAGAATCTAATAATGATGATCTGAGGTGGAAGATTTCATCCTGGAACCATCACCCCCACTACCCCACTCCTTTCTGTGGAAAAACTGTCTTCCATGAAACTTGTCCCTGGTGCCCAAAAGGTTGGGGATCGCTGCTCTAATGAATGGTACCCATAGATCTGTGATCAACTAAGTGTTAATTTTTCAAACTACCAAGGTGTGCCCAGGATTCAATTAGATACTGTGGGAAAAACAAAAAGAATATTTAAGATGTAATCATATTAGAGAGATAAAACTGAACAGTGTAAGTAGTTAAGTAAATGCAAGGCATATTTTTAATGATGATCAAAACTTTCATCCAGTCTTACATAAACCTCAGTATTAACAAAGCATTCCTATATGTACTTGCCTGTTTCATCATTATTAATTACCATGCACAAGATGTAACTAGTGGAATGTCAATAATGGGCACCCTGTAGCTTCATTTTCTGCCACCTATTACCTCCCAGTGGCCCAAATCTGTAATAATTTTCTGTTATTACCTGTTTAAAGAACAAACTTTATTATAAAATGAAGGCCAAATGATACTTAGGCAAGAAGAGTCCAAATTCTGAATTGGCTCACAAATAACCCTGATTATAAACATTAATACCTTTAGATCTTTAATTATTACACTATAAAGAAAGAAAACTAGGATTAAAATGAATGTTATGAATAATGTTTAATGAATAATGAAGTTAAAAAACAAATCGCTTTCACTATGTTAAGTAAAAATCTCCTACAGTACCCAAAATTTTTCCAAGAAACTCCCCACACCTATCAAAGTAAG